ACAAAGCCTGCTGTGATTGGCTCAGTGCGGTATACTGTATGTAGCCAACGCTACCGTACATACAGTATTACCGCACATCCATACCCGGCGTATGGGGGATGTTTTTAAGTCTAAACACTCGTCTTATACGCCGGCAAATACAGTATATTGAATACGATCATTACAGGTATTGACCACATACACTTACCACCACATACCCTTACCAGGACACAATATTTTTCTCTGTAGTGGTCCTTTAAATATTGTGTAAATTGAGAAACCTGTATCTGAAGCAAAATCTTCTAAGACAGCTGATTAAGAAGTCATGATCTGCCAGGTTCACACTGTTTTCTGGATGAGATCTGTAACGCGTTGCATTGCGCTTTGCCACTTTTTTTTGTTTTATAGGTGCAGTCCAGTGCATTTGTATGCATTTCCATCCATTCCAGTGCATTCCAGACCAGAGAAAATGAGACCAGCAGTATTTTTTTTATTTTTTTTAGTCTGGACTGGAATGGACTGCACTGGTGTGAACAGAGCCCAGAAATAACATAGGAATACATTGGGATGCTTTTTTGGTGTGGGAACAAACTGTTCTGGTCTGGACATGATCCGGACAAGCCCTAAAGTCGTAGTCTTTGTATTTTCCTATTTGTAAGGGAGAGAAGGGAGGTTGTGAACAATAGTCTAAATCTATAAAGTTGGCCATACAGATTTTCTATGGTCAGATGGAATAAGTGCAATAGATTCCTCCATCTGTGTAGATGGAGGAACCTCCCACAGTGCCAAGCTTCAGTATCTTGCTAGTCGGCCCCACTGGCTCTCAAAATGCCTCAACAATGTAGTGCCCCCCTAAACATGCACTGTAAAACTTTAGCACTGACATGTCTGTGTTGGGAGCGGAATATAAAAAGATGGCTGTCCAAGATTTCAGGGTTGCCAAACATGTGTTGTCTTTATTAGCCAGAGCGAAATGAGAGAGGACTGGAACATTAACTGTAAGTATGAAGCCATTCCAGCTCACTTTGTCATGAAGTCTCTGCTTCTCTCTGTCAAATATTGCAACACAACATCCCCAATTTCCCTTTTAGATGTACACACCATCTGTCATTATTACATAAAGATAACTACAAGAGCTGCAATTGATTCTGCTAACTTATGCCTTTCATTTATACCTACTGCAGTGACCACAAACTGCCTTAGCTATCTCTTATCCTTGCAAAAATGCAGTACATCCCAAATAACAAGGAAGGTGCCAAAAATGTGCTGAGGAATGCAGACTAAGGCTCTGTTCACACCTAGGTGTATCGATTATGCGCGTTTGTCGTGCGTTTCGTGAAGCGCGTTTTTACCGCGATTGGCGGTAAAAAAAAAACCTTGACAAACGCACGTTTCCGAGGGCTACTTGGCTGTATCCCAATGGAAACGCGAGACAAAAACGCAGCAAAGAAGCTCATGTACCTTTTCAGGCGTAGGCCGTTTTGTAGCGCGTTCAGACGGGCTGAAATACGGCCAGGTGTGAACCATACCCATAGAAAACAATGGGATTTTCATGTTTGAGCGTTTTGTAGAGCGTTCGTAGAGCGTTTAACGCGCTACAAAACGTACAGGTGTGAACCAGGCCGAACTCCCGATACTGCGTAGGTTGAAGTAAAGCATATGTTAAGGCAAACAAACATGTGCAGTACATTTCTGTAACACATGCACGTTTCTCTTCCTGCAATCCAGTAAGTACAGAAAAATATCTAGTGATCTGCCAGAAATGCACTCGCCACTTAATTTCCTACTGTGGGCTGACAACACACAACATTGTTGGGGACTGAGTGGTGTCAGCCCTGTCCAGATTTGATTTGCTAAACTATGCAATTCATCCCACTGTCTTCATCTCTAAGGCTATGTTCACACCATGTCTAGACTGAATACATTTTTTTTAGAAAATACAGTGCCGAGGAGGCTATTAAAGTTAGGAGATGCTACATTCTAAAATTGTTCCACACTAAAATTGTATTTTTACTCCTGTAAAAAAAACAAACCTCGAACATAATAATCGGCTAACTAATCGATTTTGAAAATAATCGTTAGCTGCAGCTCTATACTCGTCGTATAAGACGAGTATAACCCCAAATAATGTCTAAATGCACCCACTAACATCTATGGCGGTATTCCAAAGTGTGGCTCGGGGTTAATTTTCAGTACCATAAGCAGTAACCCCGAGCCTCATTCGGATGTGTCTCTTACCTTGTCCACGATCCCCGCTGTGTCCTCCGTCTTGCGTCCCTTGCGAGCATCGCAGGGGGGCGGAACCGGTGGCAATTTTAAAAGTAAAAAAAAAAAAAATAGAACAAAAAAATAAAATCATCAGACCGCCAGGGAGGCTAATCTGTCAGCCCGCTGGATGTGTGGTAATACTGTATTTACGGTAGCTTCGGCTACATACAGTA